TGAATCAGAATCTTGAAAAATTTAGGCAGGAAATTGAAGAGTTGGTACAACGAAAGTATGCTAATCTGAAACAACAGATTATAACAGCTTTGGAAACCTTCTCAGAAATATTTACAAAGATGGTTAAAGATACCAACTTAGAATTAGAGTCTAAAATGAAGGAAGCTGATGATAAAATTGATAATCTGGACAATAAAATACAAAGAATTGAAAATGATTTGATAAATATTCAAGATAATAGCTCAGAAGTAAAATCTAAAATAAAGGAAGCTGATTACAGGACCTATAATGCAGATAATATAAAACAAAGGATTGAAAAAGAAGTTACAATGATGCAATACAGGTCCATGGAATTTGCGGTCAGAATAAGGGGACTACAGGAAAATAACAGATGATTTGAGAAAGATGTCTGCTCAAGTTCTGGCTGGGATTTTAAAGGTTAGTCCTGAAGAGGTATCATGTAAGATTGATAAGGCCTACAGAGTAAACTCTTGGGTGGCAAAGCAAAAGCAGTTGCCTAGAGATGTGGTGATTTACTTTACTGATAAAGGAATAAGAAATAATATTGTGCAAAAGTCTTTTAACTCCACTCTAGAAATGAACGGAAGGAAGATTTGGATATATAAAGAGTTGCCGCCCAAGATATTAAAAGATAGAAAGGAATTTGGATTTTTTGTGACTGAGCTAAAGAAACAAAACATCCCATTTAGGTGGGACATTCCAGTTGGTATAATATTGAGATACCAAGGAGAAAGATATCAACTAAATACTGTTGAAAAAGTGGAAGAATTTTACTACAAGTTTCTTAAAATGGATCCAACATCTTTATGTATGCTTTCAGTGTTGGGAACACAGGAGGGGAATAAAGAAAAGCAAAATGAACAAGAGATTAAAACTCAGGCTAAGCAGATGGAGATGGAGGTGGTGGAAAAACAACAAGTTACAGAGGCCCTTCTGGACGAGCCACTTTTGGATTCTCCTTCAGAGGTTATAGTTGGATTACCTATAAATATGAGAGAGGCGGCTTTGGACTTTAATGAGATGTCTTATCAAGCTACAGACCAGCATGGAAATCAATCAGCTGATATACAAGTCCTAGAAAGACAACTAGGATGGAGATCTAAACCACAAAAAGCTAAGAAAAGAAGAAGCAGGTTCTACAAAACTAAAAATTTTTAAACTAAACAACAGTCTAATGCCAGTTACTTAAGAGACGATAATATAATAAGCGGGATTTATAGATGGCTGACACATGAAAATATAATTGAGGCAAATTATTGACTTATACTATTTTGAGAAGAATAACAGATCTCTGCAGTGCTGGTGCTTTCGGGATGTGGAAAATGGCCTTTGATTAAGTGGATTGGAACTTTCTATTTTGGACTCTTTGAAAAATGGATTATGCATATGCTGAGTTATAAGGCAAGAGAACTATGGGATTGGGGCATGCAGAAGATCTGGCTGTTACCCCAAGGCGGTGGTTGGAATTAACAATCTAGATAAAACACTACAGAAGATATTACATGGAATATAAATATAAAGTCACTCGGGTGGTTTTTTATATACGAAAATACTTATTATTGATGAGGGCAGATGGTAATGGAAGATTGAATATACTGTTGGAAGCTGAACCTGATGTTACCCTAACATGGGTGATGGAATTAATAATCTAGTTGAAAGACATTACAGAAGATACTATATGGATTACAAATTTAAAGTCATTTGAGTATTTTATTTATATATGGAAATATTTTTTAGTTATGTGGTGTGGGCAGAAGAACAAAGATATTAAAAATAACATGTATGGTAGACCTGTAGGAAAATGGGTGGAGATAGGTTAGGTTACTGACTGTTTAGTTTAGGAAAAGGGATGTTATGTTTAGATATAAATATAAATATACGTAAAAGATGTGAATTAAGAGATATATGTATGGGGGTGGAAAAAAAGAGTAGATTATGAGTTGAATAAATGTTAAATTAGGATTATTATATAGTTATATAGCTGAAGGTTGCTTCGAAAGGTATAGTATAGGGGGGATATAATAATAATGTTAGAAAAGAAATGGTTAGCATGTGGGGGGGGTGTAAAAGGATGGTAAAGTATTATATAATTTGATATTAATTTGGATTTTATTTTGGAGAAGCCATGGGGGGAGGGGAGGGGGAGGGGGGGTTAGGGAGGAGAGAGGGGGAAAAAAGTGGGGAAGAATCTGTATTTGAAAAACTTTTTCAATTAAAATTTTTTTTTGGTATGCTTACATACCAAATGCACATAAACATACAAATGCACATACAACATTTCAAAAGGCTCTTGTGGGTGGGAGGCACTTTGGATTTCAACTCTTGTGAAACCCTTCCCAATCAGAAAGGCAACTAGTGATGCTGCCTGAGGTGAGTAGTGGGAAGTTACTGTTCAACACATATGAAGGGAACCTAGGTATGAAAACTTCTAGAGGGTTCAAAGCCCTCACAAACTCTTATTTCTAGCTATTCTTATACTGGAGGGATTGCCTTTTTCCAAGAGTTTTTCTACCTGTTCAACCAGATTGAGCAGAGTGGGCATGCTGCAGATCCCACCAGCCAAAGAGTGTCAGCTGGTAGGGACCAGAAGATAAGCTTTTTCCTCAGTGGCCCCTGCTCTAGGCAACATCCTCCCTTGGGAAATTAGAACGCCCCCAACCCTGTTAGCTTTACATAAGGCCTTAAAAACCTGGCTATGTTCCCATGCTTGGAGTGCTGAATGTGTTAAAGGTCCCGTTTCATGGCTGATCTTACTCCTATGTACTGTATATTTAATCTGAATGTTCTTACTATTTAGTTTTTGTTTTAAAATGTTTTTAGCAATTTCTATGTCTGTCTATCATCTATCTATCATCTCTCTCTCTCTCTCTCTCTCTCTCTCTCTCTCTCTCTGTCTATATCTATCTATCTATCTATCTATCTATCTATCTATCTATCTATGTATCTATGTATCTATGTATCTATGTATCTATCTATCTATCTATCTATCTATCTATCTATCTATCTATCTATCTATCTATCTATCTATCTATCCTTGTTTTCCCCAAAATAAGACCGGGTCTTATTTTCTTTTGGACCCCAAAATAATGGGAGGCCCACTTCTGCTTGCTTGCAGCAGGCAGGAGGCCACATGGTGTGCCAGTGCTGCTGCGAGGCAGGGGTGTGTGTGTTGAGCTGCCCCCCCACGCCCCACACCAACTTACCTCAGGGCCCCCACAGCCAGGCCACCCATGCATACTACTTGGCCTCCTACTCTATTGTGGCCACAAGCAAGCAGAAGAAGTGGGTCAGCAGCTATGTGGACTCCTGCTGCACATGGCTGATGGTGCTGCCGCCGCGAGGCAGGTGTCAAGGCATGGATGGCCTGGCTGTGGGGGCGCTGAGATAAGCCAGTACAGGGTGCATGGGGCAGCTTCACCCCACCTCACCTCATGTCCACGGCACCGCAAGCAACCAGACAGAATGGGCAGGCAGCCAGCTATCCAGGCTCTTAAGTGGGGTTTATTTTGGGGGTAGGGTTTATATTTTATCAGAAGAGTACTCAAATCTTCTGCTCGAAATAAAATTCCCTATACCACCAGGCTTGAAATTTTAGGTCTGGATAGCCTCGAACTACGCTGTCTACCTATGCTTAGTTAATAAGATTATTTACCAAAATGTCCTACCTGTAAATGAGTACTTTAATTTCAACCGTAATAACCCAAGGGCTATCAGAATCAAACTCAATTTAATTTGCTCTAATCTTGATTGTAGGAAATATGACTTCTGCAATAGAGTAGTAAATGTCTGGAACACTCTACCTGATTTTGTAGTTAAGTCTTGCTAATCCCCATACCTTTTACCTTAAACTGTCTACTGTGGAACTTTCATGTTTCTTAAGAGGTCCCTAAGGAGGCGTGCATAAGCACACCAGCGGGCCTACCGTCCCTGTCCTACTGTCCCCATTTATATGTAATCATTCTATGTGTTTATGGCTATGTTTTGCCTATTTATATCCTTTTATTTGTGCCAATTTTTTTCATGTGTCCATGTCTATGTCTATACTGTTACTTGTTTCCTTGTATTTGTTGACAAATAAATAAATAAATAAATAAATAAATAAATAAATAAATAAAAGGTGCGTGCATAAAAACATGCTAGGTTTTATTTTCAAGATAGGTCTTATTTTCAGGGAAATGGTATGTCTGCCTTCATCTTTATTATTATTACAATTACAACAATTAAAGTAATTGTAAGCCATGCAGAGTCATTGGCTGAAATGATGGCTATGCAAAATGAATGAATGAATGAATGAATGAATAGAATGAATGAATGAATATTTGAAACTTGCTATTCTACTGTTTAAAAAAACCTGAGTATTATTTATACTTGATGCTCACATAGTTTTAAAAATAGATATTGTAATAAAATGGGATAAACATTATATCAAACCAGAATGCACAATAAAGACAGCATCCTTTATTCCTTCATTAAATGTTCAAATAAAGGGCTCTGACCTCCTGCCTTAAAGATAAAAACATCTTTACCCAGGATGTTCTGTGACTCTAGAGCTTCATTAAAGAAAAGTCTTCTCCCTGGTTGCCACTTAAAATTCCCTGGTTGCCATTTGCTTAGTCAGTGTTATTATTCTCAGGTTGCAGATTTGGACAGGGTGGGATGGTTGAGAGGAAATGGCTTAATTAAGGCTAATTACAAGGCAGCCACAGTGTTTCTAGCCACTGTGCAGCTCCAATTTACAAGCCCTGTCAAGTCCACAAACTCATATTGGCCACAGAATTTGCAATTCCTGTATCTGTTTTGATTATGTTCCTCCTTTGCTTGAACACGTGTTGGGTTGATACATATAACATGTGTCTTTCCTACTCTCCAATTCACATTCAGCTGGGAGATCTGAAGGAAAATTGTGCATATTCCCAGTTGGCCAAAAGCCTGGCTAGTTAGGGGATCCCATTGTGAAGAAGTCAATGTCCACACAAGACTGAGGAAAGACAAAACTTTATTTCTGTATTGAAGCAGAAGAGGGAGAAACCTCTGGGTTTCATACCCAACGAGCACACCAGAAATCAGGCAGAACTATTTTTATATAATTTGCTACAGGAAACAAAAATAATTACATTAAAGAATTAAGAATTAAAAAGAATTAAAGTTACATGACAGTTACACATGTATATAAAGCAAAATCATTCCCATTATACCATTATTTATTTAATTTTGCTTTATTATCATATAAATTGACTACCTCTAGCTGTTTTTACTATGTTAATAATAAACTATATACACCAGCGGTTCTCAACCTTTTCACCACGGGCCCCCTTTAGATACCTTTTTATGGCATGGACTATGGCCACGGACCCCCCCAAGATTTAAATCATAACGTTTTTTTCAAGTTTTTGGACCCCATGATGATATCACGGCTCCCCAGGGGTCCACAAACCACAGGTTGAGAACCACCAATACACACTACACATACTAATTTGCACACTGTTCAGGATTGCAAAGCATATTTCAAAGTCTCTACAATTTCAACATAGTATATTTTATTTTTGTTCTCCTAAATGTAACCTTAAATGAGATTAATGTACAGGTTTTATTTTTCACTGGAATAAACACATTTCATGCAAGAAATTGTTTAATTTCAGGTAATATCTTTGGTGGAAGTATGTTACAGATCTTACTGGAATGCTCATTAGAATAACTGAATTCAAAATACAAAGAATGATCTGGAATGTTCATATTGTTTCTAAGTGTATCTCTCAGATGTAATATCAATCTGTGATTTTTGTCACTTAATTCTGCTTAATGTTTTGTCCTGTATGAATTTTCATTACCAATCTGAAGACAGTGGTGAAGTTTAAATGTTGTTCCATATAGTAAGTTCTTGAAATAATGATATATCAGAGGTGTAAAGTGGTATTAGAGCTAGGGTGACATTATATGATACAAGCAACCTGAAGAGGGCACTGAAACCATTGAGATTTTTTATTTTTGCAATCTACAATATTGCACAAAAACAACATTGTAAGTCATTTCTTTTCTCTCTTCATACTTTTCTTTTTCTAATTTTTGTTCTATATTTTTATTTTATAATGAAACTTAATAAAATTTAACAAATAGAACTAGAATTATATTGTTGCTGATCTGCTAATCAAATGTAACTTAAAACTCCTACATGTGAGTACTGACAGGATCCACTGAAGTCAATAGGACTCCTCAGAGAAGCAAGTAGAGAACTGCAGTATTCTATTTCACTTGGTCCCTGTTGACCTGCTTAGCCTACATTTTAAAAGATTAAATCAGTTATACTTTGGTCTAGTGTCCTGATTTAACTTTTTAAAATACTTTTGGCCTGGATGATTGAGTCTTCACTGACATTTAGCCTACCTATTTACTTCCCAGGCTATATGCTAAAAAAATTAGATCCTGAAGATTAAGAAAATGTAATATATATTTTCATTTAGAAATCAGACTATGCATTGAGACAGATAACACAACCTTGTCAATAGATCTACTATGAAGAAATGAAAACTTATGGCCCTTCTCCGGGGTCCTACCATGATAAATGCATGCCTCAGCAGTGTGCTTTCCCCTCATGATATTGGCTTCAATTAGTCCCAATACCATGAGTGAGTCAAGTGTTAAAACATTCTTAGCTATACCAGTGTTAAAGTAGCATTTTCTCCTAGGATGCGTAACATGTTTTGCTTCACCAGTCATCACATAGAAATGAGCAGTGGCAGATTGTACCACAGAGATACTAACTGCCCTTTCAGGTAATAGACACACCAACTTCCCTTCAGTCTCAGGTCAACATTACCTGCTGTCCTTCTGTACTTTGTCCTAAAATAGTAAAATACAGTGGCTCATGAAATAATCCATTTTCCAGGACTTGATAAATGTGAAATGATATAGTTATTAGGTTAATAGTTTATTTATTTAAACTACTTATATGGCCATCTGCCTTACATAGTGATCCTAGGTGGCCCACATTAAAGTAGAATAAAATGAAATTAACCCTTTTTACTTGACACATCAACCAGCTATCAGCCTCCTTAATCAACTTCCTCCTAACCCAATGCTTGGGGAAGAGCCAGATCTTCATGGCCTTCATGAAGGCTAAAAAGGTGGGGCCCTTTGAATTTGAAGTGGGAGGCTGTTCCAAAGTTGAATGATAGAACCAATACCTTTTCCCCACCCCACCTCTGTAATCACCTCCCATTTACATGAAGGAGCTTATCAATATTTGTTGGCTATATAATGAAAAAGGATGGGAAACCCTAGTTTATGATTTAGTTTTCTCTCTTTTAATCTTTCTTCAGCTTAGGTTACAATACAATACATAGACTACATACAAGGAGGAGTGTAAAAATGATAAGTGTGCTGAAGATAGCGTTATTCTTTACCTCCTACAACCTTGGAACTGGGGGAAGGAGGTTATTTCTGCGGTTTTGAACATAAAGCCAAGAATAGGCATTGGCATTGGGGACAGCGGACATTATGTTAGTATAGTTGTAGCACATGGACAGATAGCATATTGACTCAATAGCAATGAAAGGTTCACAGTAACTAACAGTGATTTTATAAGGTGCATGTAAAGTAGCAAATACAAATTCTAATTCTCAAAATTGGCCTTTCTTTGCCAATTGTGGTTCTAAATTCAAGTTGAGGAGCATCACTGAATAATTTTACAAATGTTAAACATAAGTTACAAATACCCTTAATACAGTCATCTAACAGAAGCAGAGCTGCTACCAGAAGTTTTTATACAGAAATATTAGCCATCCTATTTAAATAAAGAATTTTTTCAAAAGCAGTCGAGCTTTATGAAGTCGTCCAATCCTTTCCTTTAAAGAATTCCTTATGTTGACAACATCCTTTCCCTCATGAAAGAGAATTTCCAACTGATCTCCGCTTTGCAAAAGCTGCATCATTGCATTCTGTAACCTCTCAGCAAAATCCCTGAACATGTATAACTGTATGATCATAGGAATCTGACTACCAAGCCGGATTTTTGCACTCTGAAAGCAAAGTTAAGGAGAAAAAAATTATTCCAGGGTAATATAAATGGCTGGAAACATATCGATATCCCATAATCTCTCCCTACCAGTATGTTAAGGTTTATACTAAAGCCTTGTCTCCTGTGAAGCTGTATCCTATCACAAATGAAAATCAAGCAGTTTCTGTTGGGAGATGCCTACTGCCACCACCACACACCCCTGCCAGAAGATACAGCCTTTTGTTTTGTGTACATTTTACAACCATTTGTTAAGTGACCATTAAAGTTTCAACAGCACTGAAAAAATCCTCAATCAATCAACCCAGCATCCCCACAGTCACGTGATCAGAATTTGGCAATTGGCTTTTATTTACAACAATTGCAATGTCCTGGGATCATATAATGTGATATTCCATTTGTGAAGTTCCCAGCTAGTTTTTGGCAAGCAAAGTCAATAGGGGAAGCCGGATTCACTTAATCGCTGCAGTGATTTGCTTAACAATCATGGCAAAAGTCATAAAATTGGGTGTGAGTCACTTAACAACTGCCTCACTTAACAACTGAAATTGTGGTCATAAATCACTTAACAACTACCTCACTTAACGACACAGTTGTGGTCATAAGCCAAGGACTACCTATACTCTCCCATATTCAACTCTTTAATAGAGAACAGGAAGTTATACTCAAGTTTCTGGCAATGCTCTTGCAGATGCTCACTAAAATGCCCTGCTATCTTGCAGCTTCAAAATTGCAAAAATGGAATGTATTTAACAATATTTCTATACTGAGGGGTAGAGAAAAAAGAGTAAAGAGACCCTCATAAAACATTTATAAATGAGAGCCAAGGTGGTGCAGTAGTTAGAATGCAGTATTGCAAGCTACTTCTGCTTATCACTGACTGCCAGCAGTTTGGCAGTTCGGGTCTCACCGGCTCAAGGTTGACTCAGGCGTCCATCCTTCCAAGGTGGGTAAAATGAGGACTGAGATTGTTGGGGGCAATATGCTGACTCTGTAAACTGCTTAGAGAGGGCCGTGAAGCCCTGTGAAATGGTATCTAAGTCTAAGTGCTGTTGCTATTGCTCCAAGTACCACTTTTACAGAAGCTGCAAATCTGTTTACATGGACTTTCATGAAGCGGATGGAGCACAGCAAGTTTCTGCAAGCTAACTCACATGAATTCTTACAATATAATAGATATAAAGATTGTAGAGTTCCTTTGTCTTCAAATGTACTCTTCAAATACTTAAAGATTAATTACATTTTTGTTCAATTTTTTTTTGTTAGGTAAGCATACCCAACTATCATTTGATGTTCCTCATAGAGCTCTATTTTCAGGCACTTCACTGTATCAGTAGCCCCCTCTGACCTTGCTCTAATTCACCATAGTCTGTTTTGAACTCTGGTACCCAGACCTGACATAGTATTCCAAGTGGAGTCTCAACAGAGTAGAGGGGAAGAATTATTTCCCATAGTTCAAATAATTCTACTCTTCACATATACACTTTGTATTTTAGTGTCTGGAAAAATTGTGGCATAAAAATTTAATTTAACCTGAAGAGAGCCTCAAAAGCTGAAATCCTGTGTCTTTGCAGCATTCCACCCATGTCAGGAGGCCCCAAGTAAAGCAGTTCTTGATTAATGGTACACTATATCAGTATGTATGTGTGCATGGGGTAAATGTATATACTGTATGTGTTTCTGTGTATATGCCAACATATTTCAATGTCCACAGGTGTTATATGATTCATATGGACCTGTTAAGCTGACATTTACTAGCCCTACTTAGCCCTGTGCTAATGATTTGATCATGCAAATACTGCACCCTAACTACGTTTATGAAACCTTTGCATTTTTGCTCACTTAAACCTGTAAAAAAAGAATATCTTAATAAAAGTAAAAAGATACTTTTTACTTCAGTGAAATAATTAATAATAAGTATTGAATTTTGAGACCCATAGATATATCCGCAGGAAAGGTGATATATTTTAAAAATTACTAAATTATGCCTATTAATGGCTAAGTAAATGAAACACGCAAAGGGGATTTTAAAAGAGACAGAAATCACTCACAAACTATTGAACTTACTTTATAGTAGGCGGTGATATGGTAAATCATTTCCTCCACTGAGCACTTTTCTGTAAAATCAGCTAAATAAGGAACTGGAGTGATTTTTGTCGCTCTTACTGTTCTAAAATCTTCACTATATACACTGTCCTGGCAGTAAACCACATTTTCAAGTTTAAACTGAGTGTGTATCATATTTTTTGCTTTGTCTTCTTGTGTGAGCTTTAAATCTTCAATATTGTTCTGCATAACAGGAAAAAAAAAACGGTTTGCCACATTTGTGGGATTATGACAATTATATGGTTCCTTAGGTATTATATTATGTTTTTTCTTCTTTTTGCTAGTTTTACAGAGAATTTATTATAGGGTTTTTGTGGATCACTGTTAGTCATCTAGAATTTATGTGCATTTCTCTATCCCCAACTTTTATTTAAGTATATTAAACTTCCCCAGCACAATGCTTTTCAGGAGGTTTGAGAATTACAAAAATATCATTCTTATCCCTGATGGCTCATTTACAGTGTACAGAGTTAGAGCACAATTTCAGTTTAGCAGCATTACAATTGGGAGGTTTCCCCACAGTTCACTGTGCAATCTAGACTGTAGTTCTACTCTGCCCTGAAAACAGAAAATAAGTGTAATTGGAGAGCAGATAACTCAAGACAGTGAACCAAATTAACTCTATACCTCAAGTAACACCATCCATCATGTCATCAATGCAATTAACTGTGCAAGGACATAAATATAGATTTATTCTCCTTAGTCAGACATGCACATACACAACTACATCTGAAGTGGACAATGATCCATGAAATCTTCCAAAATAATGAATTTGTTTATTATAGTACTTTATTGTTTTCACTTTAAACTACATGGCTATGCTTTTGGAAATTCATTGCAAGTATGGCTAATTACCTGAGCAACTTTGCAGAGAGCACAGAAACTACTGAAGTGTTGTTTAGCAAGTTCAATAAATGCTTCCCGCACAAGCTCTAGAAAAAAAGAGGCAGCAATTTAATGACAGGATCAACTAAAAATATAGGTAGATCCCAACCATACACCATATAATAACTGGACATTCAACACTTGGATATTGGGATTAAAGCCTTCACACCCCCTTTGATCTACATAAATAAATATTAAAATCAGGAGAAGTGTGTGATATTAGGCATAAAAGAATTTTTTTCTACAGATTTCTATTTAAATCCAATATACTATATAAAACGTGTTTCAGAGAGGGACCCTGGAAAAATCTGAACAATTCTGTACAACATAGTTTAATGTAAAAGTGATTTATTAACTATACATCTTACATTTTAAGTTAAAGGCAGAGTCGTGCCAGTGTTCCTATGTCAAAACCAAGAACTCTAACACTCTCTCTCTCTCTCTCTCTCTCTCTCTCTCTCTCTCTCACACACACACACACACACACACACACACACACACACACACACACAAACACACCATTCACTGAGATAACCCAGGTTCTGCTTCACACTCCTTGGGGGTCCCCAAAGCCACTTTACATAGCAGACATATCCAATACAACTGCCAACCCAAGAAGCACAAAAGCCCTTCATAAAATTATACATTTTTCTAAACAAAACAATGCACACCAAAAACTGCAGCTACTGGACAAAATATTCTTAAGAGTCATTCACAAAAGTAGAATTAGAATTTACCTGAAATGTCTTTCAACACTCCATATGCTGGATATTCTAATCGTTTAATTTGCCGTCTTACAGAGTTCTCAAAAGTTTTGAAATTGACAAACCCTGGAAGTTCTCTGCCACGGGATATATTTCCTAAATTTCCACTTCCTTGAAGATTTACTGCAAAATAGTTTTTTTCTTTATTTTACAAATATCTGTATCACTCACATGAAAAATTCTAAAATCTAAAATGTGTAAAACATCATATTGAAATAATACTCAACATCCCACAAATTCAACCCAAACAATCCAATGTATAAAAAGCAAAGCATATCCCACATCAACTTCCCCATATCTGATTATCAAATACCAACGAAAAAGAAGCCTTTCTATTGCTTTATGGAACTCCAGCAGCAATGGAATTAGGTAAGTCTCTGGACTAAAACCTTCCACAGATTTTAGACAGCTCCAAGAAAAGTCTGTTTCCTAGTCCATTTTCTTTCTCACAGTTTATCTCACAAAACAAGCAGAATAATTCTAAACTTCCTAATTTAACACAGCTGCATCATATAGGCCAGTGATGGCTAACCTTTTTGCCATCGCGTGCCAGGAAGGGGGGGCGGGGGAGGGTCGCACACGCACGTGCCCATGCGCATGCGTGCACAAGCCCCTCCCCCCCGCTCCTGGCACATGATGGCCTGGTAGGCCCGTTTTTCTTTCATACCTGGTTCCAGATCCTCTCTGTGTATCTGGGAAGGGAGAAAACAGCCTTTCCCACTTCCTTGGAGGCCCTACGAGGCTGAAAGTGCCCATTTCCCCAACTCTCGCTGGGACAGGAAGTGACTTTTTTTGCTGTCCCCAGCTTCCAGAACCTCTCTAGGAGTCTGTAGGAGCCTCTCTAGGAGTCTCTGGAGGCTGGGGACAGGAAAAAACATCACTTCCTGTCCCACCGGGAGTCGGGAAATGGGCCCTTTCAGCCTCCATAGGGCCTCCAAGAGGGTGGGAAAGGCTGTTTTCGCCCTTCCCAGATAAATAGAGAGGATCTGGAGCCAGGTAAGAAAGAAAAACGGGCCTTCCCCTCCCCCCCACAAGCCCTCCAGAGGCAGGAAACAGCCTGTTTCCCTACTTCTGGTGGGCCCAGAAGGCCCGAAAATCAGCTGGCCGGCACGCGCATGCGCCCCAAAGCTGAGCTGGCGTGCCCACTAATATGGCTCCGCGTGCCACCTGTGGCACGCGTGCCATAGGTTCACCATCACGTATATAGGCTTTATAAGTGACTTGTACTTTCAATTGGGCTTAAAAGCTTATTGGCAAAAAATATCAGGTATTGCAAATATTGCAGTTATAGTACAATAGCTGGATCCATGTGCCAGCAATCTGGCCACAGCATTTTGTACCAAAGCTATCTTCGGCAATTGTCTTGGAGATGATTCTGAATGTTAATATTCAAAAAGTATTTGGACAGTTAATTAAACTCTGGTCATAATAAGCACAGCAGCATTTTAAAATTGCTTCCTTATTTCTTTTATTGGCCATACCTCATCTATGGCTAGAAAGAGAATGGCCCTTTCTGCTTTTATTTATTTGTTTGTTTGTTTGGTTACGTATGTATGTATGTATGTATGTATGTATGTATGTATGTATGTATGTATGTGTTAAGTTGGGTGAATGAGGACGCAGCAAGCCAGGCAGTGTGTGACAACAACTCTTTTATTTAGGGTGTGAATCCAGCAACTGACCTGGGGAAACAGCTGCCCTTATATACCTTGCAGCTGTAGTGGTCAGCCAATCAGCTGATGGTCAGTTAGTTTAAACTTCCCACCAAGAAACCTATTTACATAACACTCCTCCCCTCCCAGAAGTCACTTGGGGTGAGTATTAACATACAAAGTCCCTCAGGTGATCAGGGCGTGTACGTATCCTGGTCGACCTGCGCAGTTCAGTCGGAGGGGAGGTGTCGAGCAGGTCGGAGGGACTCCCTGTCTCTCCCTGCTCTGCCAATGGAACCTCCGAGACTTCTTTGTGAGCGGCAACTTCTCCGGTCGGTCGACCCTCTTCGATGGGGCGGCACTGGATGCCCGAATTGACAGCTAAGTCCTCCACTGCACTCGGGCTTGATGTAGTTTGTGGTTCTGGTTGGTAGTCAGGGAACGGTTCCTTGAAGTTTTCCTCGGCATCTGCAGCTATTCGTTTCCTCAGTTGATCTATGTGTCTGTGCCAAACCTTCCCATCCCCCATGTCTATTCTGTATGATTTGGGCCCCGTGATTTCTGTGATTGTTCCTGTTTCCCAGAGTGGGCCCTTCCCATAGTTTCTGGCATAAACTGGAGTCCCTATGGTGAACTCCCTGAATTTCCTCTCGCCCCCCCCCTTGAAACTGTTGGGGGAGTAGTTGGGGTTTAGCCTGTCCAGTACCCCTCGGAGCTTCCTTCCCATTAATAACTCCGCCGGGCTTCGGCCTGTAGTGGTACAAGGGGTGGTGTGCTGGGCCGTTAGAAATCGATCTATTCTTTCCTGCCAATCCCCGGGGCCTAGGCGTGAGAGGGCCTCCTTGGCCGTTCTTACGAATCTCTCAGCCTGTCCGTTACTGGCTAGATGAAATGGGGCAGAGAGTACGTGTCTGATCCCCAGGTCCGCTAGGTACCCCTTGAATTGTGTGGCCATGAATTGTGGGCCGTTGTCCGAAACGAGGACATCTGGTAACCCGTGGGTGGTGAACAACTGTCTCAGTTCTTTGATAACTGCGTCGCTGGTAGTGGCCCTCATGAGCTTGATCTCCAGCTACTTGGAGAATGCATCCACTATAACCATAAAGATCTGTCCATGAAATGGGCCGGCGAAGTCTATGTGAATCCTGGACCAGGGACCCTGGGGCCTTTTCCATTCCCACACCGGTACTGTCGGTGGATCTGGCCTAGACTCCTGGCAGGATTGACATCTCTCCACCCACTCGGTAATGTCTTTGTCCATGTTAGGCCACCAGACATAGCTCCTGGCTAGCCCCTTCATTCGAACGATCCCAGGGTGCCCCTCATGCAATAGAGTTAAGATCTTTTCCCTTAGGCACAAGGGAACAATAACTCGATCGCCCCATAACAGACATCCCTCTTGCATGGTTAGTTCCTCCAGTTTGCTAGCGTACTGTTTAAATTCCCCACCCTCAGTCTTTTCCGGCCACCCCCTCGTCACCCAACTTGTGACCTTCCGAATCACATGGTCCTTGGTTGATGCTCTCGCTACCTCTGCTGATGTAATGGGTCCCGAATCCAATACGTCTATCAGCAGGATTGGGATGCCGGGTGTGGGGTCTTCTAGCTTGTCTGGTAGTGGGCATCGGCTGAGTGCATTGGCGTTGCCCATGTCCACCCCTGGTCGATGTACCAGGCAATAAGAGTAGGCTGTGAGGAAGATGGCCCAGCATGTCATCCTGGGTGATAGGGCTGCCAGTGTTGGTCTGTCTCCTGCGATGAGACCCAGAAGCGGGCGATGGTCAGTGATTAGGTCGAAGTCCCTTCTGAATAGGTATTTGTGGAATTTCTTTACCCCAGAGATGGCGGCGAGGGCCTCTTTGTCCAGGTGGCTGTAGTTCCGCTCGGCGCTGGAGAGTGTCCGGGAGTAGTAGGCGATGGGTGCCTCTAGGCCGTTTGGAAATCTATGGCTTAGAACAGCTCCCACGCCGAAAGGGGACGCATCACAAGCTAAAACAAGGGGAAGCGTAGAGTTGTATGAAGAAGCTCTCGGCTGACAGCAGTTTTTTTATGTTTGCAAATGCAGTAGCCTCGGCCTTCCCCCATTTCCAAGTGGACTTCTTAGTTAACAGTCTGTGCAGGGGTTCAGCCACTGTTGCCTTGTCCTTCAAGAAGATTGTGTAAAAATTTAAAAGTCCCAGGAATGCCTGCAGTTCCACTTTGTCTTTTGGGGTGGGGGCCTCCTGGATTGCCCTGATCTTACTCTCGGTGGGGTGTATGCCGGTGCCGTCTACTCGGTACCCCAGGAACTCTACTGAGGGGACTGCGATCATATACTTGTTGCGTATGACTCTGAGTCCAGCACTCCTGAATTTTTCCAGGACTTGTCTGAGCCTTCCCCCTAGTTGTTGTTCGTCTTCTGCGGTGATGAGCACATCATCAAAATATGGGAACGTCTCCACAGCTGGCGCAGTCGTTCTGGGGTCCTTGTCGGTCCTGCCTAGACTGCTCGGTGCGGCAGACCCCCTCATCGGACTCCCCTTCGCTCTCGGTGCTTACGGCTTCACGGTGCACTGGCGCCAACCTCTGCGTTGCCCGGCCATGGATGGTCCCTTGCAATCTTTCGGCGGCCTTAACTGAAGATTCTTGGGCTCTGGCTTTGTCTAGTGCGATATGCAGGGTCAGGTTCGATCTTGCGAGTAGCCTCCTCTGTAGCTGGCCGTCCCTCACTCCGCAAATTAGTTGCTCTAGGAGTATTTCATCCAAGTCTCTGTATTTGCACTGATTTGCGGCCTTACGTAGGGCAGCGACGTACTCACTGATCGACTCTCCGTCCTGCTGCAGTCTTTGCCGGAACTCGTATCGCTGGACGTACTTTGAAGGCCTTGGGCCATAGTGGTCTTTCAGCAGGGTCTGAAGAGTTGGACCATGATATGGTGTGGACCGAATTCGGCTCCGATAAGGCTTCGGCCATGTCGAACACCCATGGTCCGCAGTGGCTCAGGAATAGAGCCTTCTTCCAAACGTCCAGTAGTCCTTGCAGGTCATTGGCCACCATGAAGCACTCGAAACGGGACATGTAGGATCCCCACTTCTCTTCCTTGGGGTTGAAAGGCGCTGGCGGTGTGTATGCAGACATCGTTTTGTGATTCTCCGGTGCTCCGCTCGCTCGCCTGGCTGGATTCGGGCATTCCGCTTCTCTCTCAGCTTGTGACTTCAGCTCTTCTCGTGGCCTCAGCTCTGTCTTGGCTGTGGCTTCAGCTCTTTCCTTGGCTTCTGGCCTCAAATCCCACCTTCGTCGCCAATGTTAAGTTGGGTGAATGAGGACGCAGCAAGCCAGGCAGTGTGTGACAACAGCTCTTTTATTTAGGGTGTGAATCCAGCAACTGACCTGGGGAAACAGCTCCCCTTATATACCTTGCAGCTGTGGTGGTCAGCCAATCAGCTGATGGTCAGTTAGTTTAAACTTCCCACCAAGAAACCTATTTACATAACAGTATGTATGTCGTATAGTGTAACAGTATACAACATTAATACATTAAATTCACAAAACAGCATATAAAATGTGTATGAAAATATAAAACACCAGAACTATAAATAGTGGTAACTGGGTACTTGTTGGTAATTCATTCTGGAAGATGCGCCGAATACTAAAACTGACGGGTACTGAGAAAACCATGTGACCTGCTATTTTTGCGGGAAGAAATAGTGAGTCATGAGGGAGCCAACATCAGTAAGTTCTTCCTTGTGCATCGACTACTGAGAAAGAAACTCTGGGACAAGATTTCTGCTCCAAAACATGTTGAATACTGAATTCAATGAGTTTTGAAGCAGTTGAGTGCTGATGTATGACTATATTTTAAAAATGCACAATACAAATAATGAATAAAATTAAATTATATATAAGCAGTTACTAGAGCGACTAAGCCTATGGCCAGATATCTAGATCATTTAGCTATCGTACAGCAGTGTCCTCAAGATGATGTAGTTCTTGCAGGGATTCAGTGAACCTTCTGAAGGGCAATATGCATTGCAATATGATGTAATGTTTGTGGGACATTTCCACAGTCAGTTAGAATTATCAACCAATCCCCCCATTTGTAATTTTAATATTGGCACCTGCTATAATTGATTTGAATCCAGTTGAGTGTTGTCCAGTTTTGTTTTGTTTTTTTGGAAGAGCAAAGCTGATGGCAGGTTATTCTGGATTAGACACTATATTAAACAGATTTGGGTTAGAAGTTGTCCATTCCTTGCACTATGCTATCTCAATGTCAAAGTCTTCTCTGACCAATTGCTGTTTCCACAGCAGGTTCTAAGATTGGAGCCTGATTTTTTGATCGCCACAATTTTAGAGTATAGGTAATAATTGATTTACCTCACATTTCTGCCCTTCCTTTTTTAAGGCCGATTGTCTTCTAAGTTGTCGAAGTGGCAGATTAGATAGTACCAGTAGCCATTCGGAAGGCATTGGTTTAATATTTCCTGATAGTAGCCTCATGGTGTGATTTATGCTGGGTGTCCACTCCTTTTGTGTGTGCACTTTTTAACAATACAGGGTTGCAATACTCAGCCACCAAACATACCAAAGCAAGAGCTGATGTCCTAAGAGCTGTAGTACTTGTTCCCCAGCTAGTTCCAGAAAGTTTATGTAGAATATTATTCCTGGATTTTATTTTATCCATGGTTTTTCTTAAATTCCTCGAAGGAATCACTGATTTTCTCAAGCTTGATTGTTCCTACTTCTCAGCTTTGGAAGAAACTTAATCCAGTTGAGTAATACTCTGGACTTGAAGAACCAATTTGCATGCCTGAAGGGATATCTTTTCCCTTTATTGAACAACACAGTCTACTACAAGTAAAAAAAAAAAAAAAGGTAGTGACTTACTTGACTCATGCTCAATTCCGAATTACCGTTTCCCCCCAAATAAGACATCCCCTGATAATAAGTCCAATTGGGCTTTTGAGTGTATGGCAATAAGGTCAAGCGCTTATTTCAGGGCTCAAAAAAAATATAAGACAGGGTCTTATTTTCGGGGAAACACGGTAGTACATGAATACTTCCATATAGTTTTCTTGGCAAATGAATGGAAATGATTTGCCTTCTAGGATGTTTCTCACTTCCTTTTCTACTATGTATCCTGGAGTCTCCTATTCAAAAAGAAACTAATCCGATCCTGTTTAGTTTCAAATTTGAGATAAAATTGGCTAGATACCACTATTTTTTTTTTTGAGATATAGCTATAAAATCAATTTCTTTTTCACACCTTATACACTTATGTGTTTAACAGTTCTTAAAACTCAAAGCTGTTCTTCTTTTATGTAATTTTGCTTGCGCCACATAAAGATTTTAGCAGATACTTTCCCATGAAAACAAATGCAATGGATTCAAAATTATGGCCTGTGTATACTGCTATGCAAGTAATGTTGCACAAAATCTACACACCCATTTTTTTAAGCAGACACAATTCTGATTTTCTAATTTTTTTTTAAATTTGATTTATATGCCGCCCTTCTCCGGAGACTCAGGGTGGCTTACAATGCATTAAGCAATAGCCTTCATACTTTTGTATATTTATACAAAGTCAGCTTATTGCCCCCACAAACTGGGTCCTCAATTTACCTACCTTAGAAAGGATGGAAGGCTGAGTCAACCTTGAGCCTGGTGAGATTCGAATTTACAGTAATTGCAGACAGCTGGTGTTAATCACAATGCTATCAGTCTGCTGAGCCACCAGACTCAGAAATCTTGCTAGATTTTAGGATACAGAATTCTTTTTCAAAATCCCAGGAACTTCACAAAATCATGTGAGATTTGGTAATCTCAACATTTTGATAATTAAAAATTTATATTTTTAAAAAATATTTAACTTGGGGTCCTCTTGACGCCTCCTATAAAATTATATGTGCCATGAATTCCTGAATTATATATGGTCCTCAAGTGTTTTGAATGACTATAGTGGCACAAATAAGGACAATATTTGGAAATCATTGCTCTAGAAAGTCTGAAGAATAAAGAGTAATTTTGCAATCTTTTCAGTTCGTATCTATCAAGAATTGGGTCCAGGCAAAAGGTCTATGACTCAAGATTGCTCTAAGTCGGGGATCGGGAACTCGTGGCTCTGGAGCCGCATGTGGCTCTTTAATTCCTCTGCTGCAGCTCTCTGCCAAATCAGTAAACTTCTGCAGTTCGGAGAACCGGCTGATCCCACCACTGGCTGGTCCCATCCCTCCCCTCTCTCCTCCCCATCACTCCTCGCCTGGCCTGAGAAGGTAAGGGCGACAGCGGGGGATGGAGAAGCAGCTGGATCCCATCTCTTGCTGGGTCTCACGGATACTTCTTCTTCGATTATGAATTACTTAGATATATCTAATTGGTTTTGATAAAAATGTTGAAATGTACTATTTGGAACAATTAGTAAAGGAAAAACTATCTGAGATTGGAACAAGAGAATTTAAGAAAATAATTATAAGATAAAGTAGGCAAAAAAATTAGATATAATACAGGGAGTCCTCGATTTATAACAGTTCATTTAGTGGCTGTTCAAAGTTACAACAGCACTGAAAAAGTTACTTATGACCATTTCTCAGAGTTACAACCTTTGCAACTTATTCATGTTTATGACTGTTTCTGTGTCCCAAGGTCCTGTAATCACCTTTTGCAACCTTTTGACAAGCAAAGTCAATGGGGAATCCAAATTCAGTTAACAATCATGTTACTAATTTAACAACTGCAGTGATTCACTTAACAACTGTGAAAGGTTGTAAAATGCAAGAAAGGTCGTAAAATGGGACAAAACTCACTTAACAAATGTCTCACTTAACAACAGAAAATTTGGGCTCATTGTGGTGGTAAATCGAGGATTACCTGCATACAGATTGAACAATAGGAAAATATATGCCTGAACTTGCTGAGATGTCTAAACTGACTGATCAGAGAAAAAATATCTATGTTTATTGCTGACTGGAAACCCCTTATGGCTTTTTTGCATAAAACAGAAAAAATGAAGTTATGATTTATAGTTTTAATGATTAAAGGATATATTATAAAAAGAAGAGAGTTAGATTGTAATTACATAGTAAATTTATTATTGTACTTGTTGTAAAGATTGACAGCTACTTCTTTGTACCCCCCTCTTTTTTTGCACTTTTAGCTCTTAGATTTTTTCTTACTTTATATTACTTTGTATTAGTTTTTAATTTTCCTTCTTATAGATTTTCAATAAAACTTATACAAAAGTTATATATAGAACCTCTCATACTAACAAGCCTACCTGAATGTGTAGCAATACAAGCATATCCAGAATTCAAACTTCTACTCATGCTGAAACTAAGCATCCACTAAGAGAAAAGCACATAACCAAACTGAGTTTACCTTTAGTGTTATCATTAATTGTATCTTGCCATTCATTAAATTCCTTTCGAATACGTGTAATTGTTCTACTTTTTTTTGAACATTTTTCATCCTCTTCTCCATGTAAAATTTTTAAGAGGTCTTCATTAAAAGCCTTGATTTTCTGGAAAAGATGCAAAATAACATAATTGCAAAAATAAAATTACCAGCTAAAATGGTAATGCAAGCTAAGTGTTCCAGGAGGATAGTAACTCTCCATGCAATTTCCAGGAACCTTAAATATAAAAACCTGGGTATAAAGTTCTGAGAGATCAGTCCTAAAGGAATTAGAATAGGTTGGGAAGTCCCAGATGCTTTGCTATAAGGCTGGCAAGCAAGTAAGTGGCTGCTGGTAGTTGGGGGTTTGTGAGAATTGTTGAGGTTAGTGTCTTGTTTTGTTTTGTAGCATTTTTAGCACTATCTTTTGTATTTATAATTTTATTAAGTTTCAAAAACATGACTAAAAGGAAACAAGGAAAAAGAATCAGGTAGCAAGCAAAATAAAACTGAAAAAAAGAAAAAAATGAAAAAATTGCTTCCAACTTTTTTCGTACAGATGTATAGTAGATAAAAAACATACTCAACTCATATACCCAAAACTAACAATGTTTACATTACTTATATAATTCCATATAATTCTAATCATCAAATCCCAAAATCAAAATTACATTTGATTTTCTCACAAAAAAATTCAAAAGTGGCTTCATTAACAACTCATCACTGTCTCTTACCATACAACTAGATGCTTCTTCATTTCACACGGTGCCACGTTTTCTATCAACTCATCTCTAAATCCTCAGCTATCTTTATTAATTAGCAAAGATGAATAAGAAATCATTTCCCTGTCACTCAACTCATCAGCTGATTGGGAAACCTCCATTTCCATAATATGCTCATGAAGAGAGCATGTGGATTGATTTCATGTTTCCTCCTTAAATCTGGAGAAAGAAAAAGCCACCCCACCCCCAAGTTATTGCTTCTGGTGCGAGAAATGGTGATTTAACCATCTCCAAAGGGAGACAGCGTCCAGCACCTTGTGTGTGTGTGTGTGTGTGTGTGTGTGTGTAAAGATAAGCACACAGAATGACACTTTTATTATTTGAATGGATTCAAAGATGTTTATGGACAATTAATGTCAATGTAAAGGAAAGAGGGTTTAGTAAAGGAAAGAGATTATGAAATCAGAAACATGTAATGCAAAATGTACAGAATAAAGAAGAATAAATTCAAATGGACAAGAACAAGCGGCCATTTTGCATTTTTAAATTGTGGTTTGGTCTTTCCCTGTACTCAGATATCAATAACTCCTCAGGTTCCATCCCCAATTGCCCCCCTCCCCCAAAATTCTATCATCCTTCAACGCCAAAAGCAAAGCAATAACAGAAAATATAGTGACAAGCTCCTGATGATACAGTTGTGTATTTTGGCCATTTTATACATATAACACAACAGTAAATGCCTAGCAACAATACTGACTAATTAACAAGGATACAATTTGCTTCATGATCAGATACAAACTCACTTCTGCCTTTATTTTTTAAATCTATAATTAACCTTACTTGCACAAAAAAATATTTCTTGTCCTCCAAGGATTCAGGAACACCTTCACCATACTTCTGAAGTTTTTCATGCGTTTTCTGGAGGCTGATTTCTATTTGATTTTCTAAAGTTGGCAGCGATCTCTGCAATAACAATAAAATTAACTAAAGGAAAAGTGTAAAACTGTAATCTTATGCAAATTCAGAAATTTTAAATATAGTGGATTGACAGATCCATCTGACATTTTGCAGTAGGAAGCTACCAATTTTAGCAGCTGCCAAGTGATATAACAATATTTACATGCACACAAACAAACCTGGTCCTAGGAATCTCTCTTACAGTATGAATCAGATGTCTAGGAATAGAAATATGTATACATAGCCATTATGTATTGATTTAAGAATTCAGTTTGAGTAGGATGCAAATTTGCTTCATCCTTTCTACAAAGAGAGCTAATTGGGATTCTGATGCATGTATCTCTATGCAGCACAATCAGAGTCATGGTATGAAAATGCACATGTAACACAAGGATATCTTTCCTATTCAACCTGAAATGAATTGAGAGTTCCTTACCTGAATGTGCTCAGTGAGCTCTTTTGTAAGTTTTTCTGCCAGAAATGGGATAGTAGCTCTGCCTTCTTCCAAAAGAAGACTGGGGGAGATCAGAGTGAATAAAATTCAAGAGTTACTCAATAATATTGAAGTTACCATTTGTATCATCTCAGTGTTCCTCAATGTCTTTCAGATGGACAGGGATTATATGCTCTATAGGCAAGCTGTGAGATCAAATAATTTGATGGTAATTTGAAACAAAGTGGGGAGTAAGCATCAGTCACTAACTAGAAGTGCTAAAGCACATGAGAGAAAAATATCTCTGCCCAGTTCACACATGAAACTTCACCAGACTTTAGTTTGTATACAGGCACATTCATAGAGACATACACACAAACTATGATGTATAAAGGAGCACATTTTGCTAAACCATGTTCTGGAATTATTTTCTAAATCCTACCTGAAAAACTTGTGCTCTTCAAAAAATTCTCTCTCTTTCTTGATTGCATCCTCCAAGCTCAGTTTATTAGTGAGGTCGCTCTGCCCACGACATTTAACAATCATGTATCCTTTTTTCAGAGGCACTCTTTGATTCCGGACAACATCAACGGTCTCGTTCTCAGTTCCTTCATCGATCAAATCAGGCTTGGTTAGAATACCTATGAAATCATCGATGGAAAAGAAAGACATGCTCGTTTACTTGAGAAAGGCTGAGGCTTAATCTAATGAAGGCTGCTTCATTCCTGAACCACATTCAGTCTGAAAAAATGAGTGTCCCTAAACACGCACACCGCCAAGTAGCTATTCTTTCCTCACTCCTTGAGGAATAAATGTTGAATAAGTGGGCTTTCAAGTAGCTTTACCATTTCCAAGGCCACTGTAACTTTGAATGGTCATTAAATGACCAGCTGTAAGTCAAAAATTACCTGTGGGCAGAAATATTGAAAATTAAAGAGTTCACAAACTTTTAAGCACCACAATAGTTTTTCCCTCTAGAAATATCTGCTGTTATCCTTTTCCAACTCAAAGTGAATTTTGAATAATTCATTATTTTAAAAAAATAAATTCCCAAATATTTAATCTTTTTAATCATGTTAAAAACTTTTTTTTACTATATTTATTAAGAGACTGGTTTCTCCCATTGACTTGGAATGGGACTTTGCAACCATCCCAGCCATGTTGGTTGCCATGTTGGTTGCAAATACTGATCATATGACCCCAAGACACTGCAACTGTTGTAAATAGATGCATTGACAAGGGTTTGAATTTTGATCACATGACTGCGTGGACCCTGAAATAGTTGTAAATATAGAATAGAATAGAATTCTTTATTGGCCAAGTGTGATTGGACACACAAGGAATTTGTCTTGGTGCATACGTTTTCGGTGTACATAAAAGAAAAGATATATTCGTCAAGAATCATAAGCTACAACACTTAATGATAGTCATAGGGAAACAGTCAATATAAATCTTAAGAATACCAGCAACAAGGTTACAGTCATATGATAACAGGTCATAAGTCATTCTTTTCAATGCTGTCATAACTTCTTGTACAACTCAGAAAATAGCTACCCCGTAGTAGCATACACAGTAATGGGGGGGGGGGGGGGAAGGGGGGGCTAGGTTTGCTCACAAAACACCTTTGTTCTGTGGGCTGCTTTGACTTCCATTTTCCTTCCAGATGCAATTCAAGGTGCTGATCATTACCTTTAGCACCATGCATGGCACAGGGCCAGGTTATCTGCAGGGCCAGCTTTCCCTAATTATATCTACCTGTTCTACCAGGTTAAATAGGGCAGGAAGCACACTCCTAGTCCCTTCCCATAAATATTACCATCTTGTGGGAGCTCAGAAGTATGCCTTTTCCATGGCAGCCCCTGCCCTATGGAACTTTCTGCCTCCTGAAGTTCAGCCGCCCTTATCTTCCTAGCTTTTGGTAAACCTCTGAAGCCCTAGCTTTCCCCCTAAGCACTGGAATAAGATGAGGTGACAGCACATCAGAGGTTTGACTTAGCGCCATGTTTTTGTTATTTGTTGTTGTTAGTTCTTATCATTTTAATATGCTTTTATGCTCATTTAACCTTTAATTGGGAGGCAGCCAGGACTGGTTATAAGGAGGCAGCTATATAAATGTTTTAAACAGATAAATAAATATAAACTTCAAGTATTCACTAAACAAATGGTTGTAATTTCAGGATAATCTGTATGAGCATATTTGAAATATATAGCTGTCAACATCCAGCTTTAGTATCCAAACAAAAGTCCAGGATCATTTCATTTCTGAAAAGCTTATTGTTTATTGAATACATTGCATGATAATGGCGAGGTAAAACTAACTGAAATTCTCAGGCACCAGTTCACATATTAAACAATGAATTTCCCAGCCCAATCCTCATGCTTCCACGTAGACCATGTAAACAAGTTCTCTTTATTATGGGAACCATCTGCCTTCTTCTTCACACCTGTTAAGAAGTCCTTGAAAAGTTTCCAGACTCTCAAAAATTTCAGTGGAACTGTAGAAATTTCGTTTTTCCAAGTAACCCATGTAATCAACATCTCCCGCTCCTTACTCTAATGACAAGTTGAAATGAAGAGACATGTAGCTGCCAATGTTTCATTCTTGACAACTGCATCGATAAACAGAAATTTAATAAAATCAGACTTCCAATAACTTTTAAGAATTTTTTTTGAAAAAAACCTTACATTTCCAATAAAAAAATATTTTACAATAGTATCCTACTGTATTTCATGAGTAGAAAAAATATTTTAATAATCTCATTAACTTACCAAGTGTTCTCTGTCCTTCGGGATCTACTGTTTGAGCCATTTTCAATGCCTCTGTAGTAGCAATATCAACATTACTTGGAACCACAACCAAATTTATGGTTTCTTGTTTGGTAATATAACTTTGAATTAATTTCATGATCTGTAATTAAATTGCATTTTATGTCAGGCATAGGTAGAGGATAAAATGATTTTCAATGAAGCTTGAAAGAAGAAATAATTTATTCTATCAAGGCTATCATAACTATGCATAAAATTATTATGTATTATGAAAGTATTATGTAATGTATAGTACATAATCTGCAACTTACTTTAACACCCACCCACCAAATTCTGTTTCACAGATGCTGCTTCTATGTGGAGCATTCAATATCTGTGAAGGAGGAACAATGTGCCTGTCCACTTTATCCAGATATTAAGTATCCTCTGTCCATAGGCTTATATATGAAGAGCAGGAAGCCTATGCAGGGGAACACTGTAGGGTTCCATACATCTGGATATCATGATTACTAGGCTGGGGATATTATTCAGTTCCACTGGCATTCCAAGGTGTATTAAATAGACAGCATGAACTCAGCATAATTTCTGGAGTCCATTTACTGAATAAAGATCAACCAAAGGAAAGATAAATTCTATAGATAGCCCTCACTTAAGGACCACAACTGGGACAGGCAACTCAGTCATTAAATGCCACCATCACTAAGCAGAAACTCATGTGATCACAACACTTAAAAACCTTAATTCTGATTTGGTCTGTCTGGGAAACGTCACCTGAACACAACTTAATTGTTTTACTTCTGCATCTCTATTAACTCTGCTTGTCATAAGCCAGTTGCAGAGCACACAAATGGTAATCACGTAACTGCCGGATGCTGCAATAAATGCATCTGTAGCAAAGCTATCTGTTTTACACCATCGTAACTTCAAATGGTCACTAAATGAGGCAATCAGTAACAGACAACTATATGTACATTTCATTCCTGAAATATGTAAAGATCTTTCCTAGCAGAAATTAGGAGTAAACAATGCTGTCATATCTTCATGCCCCTAATTCAGTTGATAATCAGATACCTATCACTTTATAAAATCTTTTTTATTTTACCTGATTGCCAATGTCTTGTGGTTGATTACCTACTGCCACTCTTGTAATTCCTGGAAGATCAATTAAGGTGAGATCTGGAACATCTGGAGAACTAATTTCCAGGGTAATTAATTTGTTGCTAATACCCAGTCCTTCGCCAGCTATTGCATTCTGGGCTATGTTATGTGAGGCAAAACAAAGCAACAGACTCAGTTATGGGAAACTCCTTATATAGAGCAGTTTTATCAAACCATCATTTGTTCTAAAAGACCTCTGAAGAAAACAGACTAGCATATATTTTTAAACAGGCTTGTTTCCTGTAATAGTTTTAAGTATGTAGGTACTTCTGTGTACTCAAATGTAACTATTTATGCTAAAATTGTTTCATAACACATAACTTTTAAACTTTACAATTAGATACATAGATAATACAATACTATATTTTTAAAAAGTCAAGCTGGAAAGCTGTGCAAGCATTTAATAAATATTAGTAGAGGGGCCTCCTTACTGTGCTAGCTTTTTAGCTAGCAGTATTATTTCTGTTTTCATAGCTATAATAGATGATCTACACAGAATAACTTGGGAAAGCAATGCTAGCTAGCATTTATTTTATCATGATTCATAGCAAGGCTGAAACATACCCTAGCTTAATTTATTATTGAAAACCAGGATATTAGTGCCTGGTCAGCGAAAAAGCAGAATCAAAAATAAAGGATAATTGTGTGACAATTAAAAAGAATGACACAAGGAAAGTAACAAGAAAAAATACATCTTCTAATGTATAGAATATAAAAATATTCTATCTAAACTATTTCTCAATCAAATAATAATAAATAATAATTATTATTATTATTTTATTTCTATACCGCCCTTCTCCCGAAGGACTCAGGGCGGTGTACAGCCTATTTAAAAACAGAATAGACATCAATTTAAAATAATTTAAAAGTATTAAATAAATTTGGCTTAATTTAAAACCCCAAAAATTTAAAACATCCAATTTAAAATTATGTTGCTAACCCAGCCTGGCAGAACAATAGGGTCTTAAGTGCGCAGCGAAATACCCGGAGGTCAGAAATCTTACGAATTTCCGGGGGCAGTTCATTCCACAGGGCTGGGGCTCCCACAGAGAAGGCCCTCCCCCTGGGTGTCGCCAGCCAACATGACTTGGCCGATGGCACCCTGAGGAGACCCTCTCTGTGGGAGCGGACTGGCCGGTGGGAGGCTATTGGTGGCAGAAGACGGTCTCGAAGGTACCCGGGTCCTGTGCCATGGAGCGCTTTAAAGGTGGTGACCAACACCTTGAATCGCACCCGGAAGAACACTGGGAGCCAGTGCAGCTCGCGCAGGAGGGGTGTCACGTGGGCGCAACGGGTTGCACCCATAACCACCCGCGCGGCCGCATTCTGGACCAGTTGGAGCCTCCGAGTGCTCTTCAAGGGGAGCCCCATGTAGAGAGCATTACAATAGTCCAACCGGGAGGTAACAAGGGCGTGAGTGACTGTGCGCAGGGCGTCCCGGTCCAGAAAGGGCTGCAACTGGCGAATCAGGCAGACCTGATAAAAGGCCCCCCTGGCCACGGCCGTCATATGCTATTCTAAAGACAGCCGTGCGTCCAGGAGGACACCCAGATTGCGAGCCCTCTCTGTGGGGGGCAAAGATTCACCCCCAATAGTCAGCGATGGCACCTGCTGACTATATCGGGACGCCGGAAGCCACAACCACTCGGTCTTGGAAGGGTTGACTCTGAGCCTGTTCCTCCCCATCCAGATCCGCACGGCCTCCAGGCAGTGAGACATCACATCAAGGGCATCGTTGGGGTGGTCTGGGGTGGAGATGTACAGCTGAGTGTCGTCAGCGTACAGGTGACACTTCACCCCAAAACCACGGATGATCTCACCCAGCGGCTTCACATAAATGTTGAACAGGAGGGGCGAGAGGACCAACCCTTGCGGCACTCCCCATGCGAGATGCCTCAAGGTCGACCTCTGTCCCCCTGCCAACACAAACTGCGAGCGGTCGGAGAGGAAGGAGGAGAACCACTGCAGAACGGTGCCCCCTATTCCTAACCCCCTCAACCGCCGCAGCATACCACCATGGTCGATGGTATCAAAAGCCGCTGAGAGATCTAATAGGACTAGGACAGAGGAGCAACCCCTGTCCCGAGCCCTCCAGAGATCATCCACCAACGCGACCAATGCCGTTTCTGTGCTGTACCCCTGCCTGAAGCCCGACTGGCACGGGTCCAGATAGATAGCTTCATCCAGGTGTCGGGGAAGCTGTCGTGCCACCACGCTCTCAACAACCTTCGCCACAAAACGAAGGTTGGAGACCGGACGGTAGTTGGCTAATTCAGCCGGGTCCAGGGAAGGCTTCTTGAGGAGGGGCCTCACTACCGCCTCTTTCAAGGCGGCAGGAAAGGCACCCTCGCTCAGAGAAGCAGTTATAATCCCCTGGAGCCAGCCTCGTGTAACCTCCCGGGAGGCCAGTACCAACCAGGAGGGACACGGGTCCAATAAACACGTGGCGGCACTAATCTTACCCAGAACCCTGTCCACATCCTCAGGAGCCACAGGATCAAACTCCTCCCAGATAACATTCTCAAGACCTGCCCTCGTCTCCTCCCGTGGACTCATCCAATCGGAGTCCATGCCATCCCGAATCCGAGCGACTTTATCATGCAGGAATTGCACAAAATCCTCAGCACGACCCTGCAAGGGATCTTCCCGCACTCCCCCCCCCGAAGAAGGGAGTGGGTCACCCTAAACAGGGCGGCTGGGCGGTTCTCTGCAGATGTGATAAGCGCGGAAAAATGGTTAGATTTTGCCGCTTTTATCGCCACTAGGTAGGTCTTGATATAAGACCTCACCTGTGTCCGGTCGGAATCGGATTGACTAGTCCTCCAAATGCTCTCTAGGCATCTTTTCCGACGCTTCATCTCTCTCAGCTCCTCAGAGAACCAAGGAGCCAATTGAGATTGGCATCGGGTCAGAGGCCGCAAAGGCACGACGCGGTCCAAAGCTCCAGCGGCTGCCCTTTCCCAGACGGCCACCAGCTCTTCAGTCGAGTCGTGTGTCAGAGTCTCAGAAAACGGCCCAAGCTCCGTCAGGAACCTTTCGGGGTCCATCAGGCACCTGGGACGGAACCATCTGGTCGGTTCCGTCTCCCTGCGGTGGGGGAAAGCAGTAGGAAAGTCCAGGTGGAGGAGCGAATGATCTGTCTATGACAAGGGTTTGATGTCTAGATCCCCTCTACCAAGATCATTCAACCACTGACCAGAGATAAAAATCAAGTCCAGAGTGTGTCCCCCTATGTGCGTGGGGCCTTGAACTACTTGGGTCAGGTCCATGGCCGTCATGGAAGCCATGAACTCCCGAACCACCTCTGACGCCTCACCCGCAAATGGAAGGTTGAAATCCCCCATGACAATAAGTCTGGGGGTATCAACCGCCACCCCAGCAATGACGTCGAGTAGCTCGGGCAGGGTCGCTGCCACGTGGCAGGGAGCCAGGTACGTGGTCAGCAAACCCATCTGCACCCCACGGCCCCACTTCACACAAAGGGACTCACATCCAGCTATCTGAGGAACAGTGGTCTCCCTCGGACAAAGACTTTCCCTAATAATCACCGCCACTCCCCCACCCCTCCCCCGGGCCCTTGGCTGATGAAATGCATGGAAACCTGGCGGGCACATTTCGACAAGGGGGACCCCCCTCTTGGCCCAACCAGGTCTCTGTAATACCTGCCAGGTCCGCACCCCCCTCCGAAATAAGATCACAAATGAGGGGGGCTTTATTAACCACCAACCTGGCATTACACAACAGCAGCCGCGGACCCTGGGCCTGAAACTCTGCGCAACCCAGGACACGAGTTGCGCATTGGGGGCCGGAGTGTGCAATCGCTCGGAGACAGCGCATGCGCACCCCCGACACTTGATGTGCCCCCCTGCGTCCGCCATACCTGCCCCTCCCACTTATCACATTGATGGAACTGCCCCCGGTTAGGTTACCCTTCTCGCCTCCTCCGCTGCGCCCAACCAACCCACCACCCCGCACAGTACCCCCCCTGGTCCATCTCTACAACCCCCTCCCCCCTTCCCAGGTCCCCTTAAAAACCCCTCCTCCCTCCCAGACCCTTTTAAAATACAAGATGAAAATTTGACTAAAAAACCCCACAATCTCCTCCTCGCTGCATGCCTCATGTGTATACTCTCTCACAATGCTCTCACAATCTAAACATGCTTTTGGCAGCTTGATTAAACTTGACTCTAATCCAGGGGTGGGCTGCTGGGGGTTCAGGAAGACCTCTAGCTAAAATTCTGTGCAGTTTGGAGAACCCCCAAATCCCACTCCTGGCTGGCCATGCACACTCTACCCTGCCCCTCCCAGGAGTCCCCACATGGCCCATTTTGGGGTGTACAGGGTGAAAAATGGGCCTACTGGAAGTTCGGGAAGGCTGGAAACTGGCCCGTTTCCAGCCTCCAGAGGGCCCCCAGAGCCTGGGGAGGACAAAAATGCCCCTACCTCCGCTGTGGTGCAGGAGGCAGATTAGGCCATGCCCACCCAACAACTGGGCAGAGAACCCCTTGCTAAAAATTTTAAAACCCACCCCTGCTCTAATTATCTCAATTTCAATTTTGGTAATCTCTCATTTTACATTTTAAAAATTTCATACACTAGAATTTGTTACTTCTTAACCCCCCCCCCCCCAACAAAACACTAAAGCAAATGTTTTCAAGGGAAAAATGATTGCAGCACAGGAAACCTGTGGGTCAGGTCCATGGCCGTTAGGGCGAAGAGAAACTCAGTATTCACTAAGGTGGATGTATAGATAATTTGTGGCATGTTCAACCATAGAAGTATGGTTGTCTGTCATAAGTCAAGAACTACTTGTACTCTCATGGCTGTGAAGCAGAATTTGCTTATGGAATGTACAACATGAATCTGAGAGTAGAAAAGAAATATATACCCCCTTTCTTTTCTCAGTGAACATTTTAAAGTAAGATTGTGAAAATATAATACAATTTGAAATTTCTAACAGCAGCAAACATGATTAAATATTTAGATTAAAAGTCAAGGGAATTAAAATCAAATATCAAATGCAAGCAAAAATATGTTTAGAAGTGAAACCACTGTAAACTACTAGTGTAGACCTTCATTCTACTTCTATCCTTCACTACAATTACATAACTATTGTAAGCTAAAATTCTATATATACTGATCATTTTAAGGAAAACAAAACCCCTTCTATTGTTACTGAATGTTACCTCTCCTAACTGCAGCTTCCACCTCTGATGGATCTTTCAGTTCCACTTCTGTTTCTAGATACACCATTTTCCCCTTCCATTCTTTATTATTATTATTATTACTTTTTTTCATCTTGAGCTCCAAGGGGCATCTGGTAACAATCCCTGCAATGTTAAAACATTGTTTTAATTTTATAGATATCATCTATTTTATTAGATATTTAACAACATAAGAAGAGAAGCAGAAAGAAAAATAACTGCTAAATACTGTGCTGTCCATTTCTTGGTTTCTGGTTTGTTTTTTTGCATAGTTTTAATTTTTTTTAATTTGCATAGTTTTTATTTTAAAATTTAAATAATTTTAAATTTTAAAATGTAAATCTATTCTGAATGCAATTCAGCTGTGTGCTAGGTAGTAACTGTCTTTGGATATGATTACAGGTTTTTTTGATACACGCAGAAGCCATCTGGTTTGGAAAATTAGCACAAAAACTGATTTGGATTCAGTTGAAGGTAATATGAAAATAAGAATGAAAATAAGTAGAGAATGGCCTGATTTGCCGTATTTTTCAGAGTATAAGACCCTCTGAAGTGTAAGACTCACCTAGCTTTTGGGGAGGAAAACAAGAAAAAAAAATCTGCCTCTGCCTCCCAGCAAATTGCCTCCTAGCAGCAAACAGCCTAGTCAGCTTTTTTGGCCTCCGTGCATCACGTTTTTGGCCCATTCCAGGTGGTGGGGGCTGCCGCCACCACTGCCTATCCTCACTGCCTGGAACTGGCTGAAAACAGGATGCGTGGAGGCCGAAAATGGGGTGCATGGAGGCCAAAAATGGGGTGTGCAGAGGCGGTGATAGGCGGTGGCGGACAGTGACGATCCCTGCAGCCTGGAACAGCTGATCGGTGGTATTCCAGGAGGCAGATCCAACCACCAATCAGCTGCTCGTGCTAAATCAGGCTGTGCTGAAGCTGACCAGGCTGTTTGCTGCAAGGAGGCAGAGGCCAAAGGGTGGGGGCTGGCAGGTGGATGGGGCTTCAGCAACATAAGATGCACAGACATTTCCACACACTTTGTGGGGAGGGAGTGTGTCTTATACACTGAAAAATACGGTACATGTTTCAATTAGAAAAATATGGAAGTTCATATTTGTTCTAGGCTCCTGAAGTTCACAAAACTAATTGAGCATCTCTCAAAAGCTTCATTCCAATTGAAAATCTGTCTACAGCAGGTGGTTCTCAAGACGAACTATAAACCCCATTCCCCCAGTAGAGCAATAAGACTTGTAGGCCAACATAACGGAATAGTACCAGCTGGAGAAGTCTGTTTGCATGCAAAGAAGAAAAGCTTTGGGAAAATTCTCACCACTGCCTCTAGGAAGGGCAACTCCAGACAAGGCCTCTAGAACTGAACTTTTTCCAGAGCTCTGATCTCCAATCACAGCAATTGCTGGCAACGCCAAGTCCTTTTCCACTCCAAGGGCTCTTAGTGAATCAATGAGGTCAATACAGGGACGGACCTTCTCTTCATATTGGCTGCACAGATGATTTTCTGTTTCCTAAGGAAACAAAACAAAATACAAAGTTGCCTCCTCTACTGACCTTGGAATTTACTCTTCCTTAATTTGGAAATCTCATCCCAAATGAGCTGGAACGGTGTTTTCTGTGAAAGGAATTACTAATACAGAAGAGGTGATGAACATTTTAAAAAAAAACCTGCAAGATTGCACCTTAGTTTCCTTTTGCTTCATCAAAATAACTCTTGTCAATTCAGTTGAGGTACAGTTGATTCCTAAACACTGTTTAGGAAGTTAAGCTGATGACTGCGAAGAAAGGTACAGATAGTCCTTGCATTCTGGCTGCCTTGGGCAGCAACTGTTCAAAGTTTCGGCAATGGAAAAAAACCACAACTTTGGGACCAATCTTTGCATTTACAACCACTGCAGCACCCCATGGTGATGCGATTGCCATCTGTATGCTTTACAGCTGGCTTGTGACAAGCAGAGTTAATAGTGAACATATAAATAAAATCATGTCATGGTCATGTGATTTTTCACTTAGCAACCACAGCCCTTCACTTAATCACCCAAGGGGAAATAAATCTATCATGGTCATGTGATTTTCCACTTTCAGTCCCAGTTGTGGTTGCTAAATACTGACTACAGGTATAGCTTTGCTGTCTTTACTGCTTTAGGATTGTTTATTTTTTCCAAATATGATTTTATACATATATACATACATTAAAGTAGTATGTAGACCTACTGCTGTCATCTCCAGTTTTCTCCATGACAAGAACCCTGTGAGTGTAATTTCGGCTGAGTGAGAGCAACTGCCTCCAAAATCACCCAATCAGCTTTCATGCCTAATTGACACCATAAAATATAATCTGGACATATGGCATAGCAGTACCTTTTTGAACCTTTTATTCGGAGAATACTCAGTATTTCTGGATTTCTTCATGTCAGACTTTGTAGTGTCTATGCAGCAAAAAATGTTCTGGAATAAAAACATTGTTAGTTCATAAAAGATGCTGCCATTCTTGGCAATAATATCAGTGACATCCCTCACTTGATCCTTAAGATTCTGTGGTTTTGATGTCCACTTTTAACTGCTTTTATCAGCAGCTAATTATAATTTAGAAAGTACACTACCAGAGTAAATTGCATAATCAAAGCATTAAATAAACATCTGTCAATATTTGTAGCATAAATAGTGCATTGCCTCAAAACAAAACAAAAAAAGCTCTGGTGCTAACCTGTTAAAAACTGAATTCTGAGTGAATTTTTATTTTATTTTATAAACAAACAAACATACAATGCATAATCAATTCTTCAGTTATCATCTAGGTACATCCTTTATGTTGACTTCTTACTCCTCTGATCTTCTTAATATTTTCCATTCATTTGTTATAACATTCTCCCCACATTATTCATTTATTATAATATTCTCCCCATATTTCTTGCTTACTATTAATACATTTATCTATCTTCACTCTCCCCTTTCTTTTTCCATTGTTTCATTGCAACGTTACCCTATATATATCTCTTCTCTGACCAATGGTAAAATTGTCCCCATATCTTAAAATATTCTGATTCCTCTCTTTCATTAATTATCAAAGTCAATTTATTCATTTCTGCACAATCTAATATTTTTTAAATTACTTCTCCTTCTGAAGGGATTTTCTCTGCTTTCCATCTTTGTGCAAATACTATCCTTATGCATTGTATGTTTGTTTATAAAATAAAAAAAATCATTCAAAAACAAAACAAAACTGGATTCTCTTCAGTAAAAGCATTTTTGTTGAAATAAGCAGCTACAAGCCACAGCTACAAGGTCTCTAAAGATTGTCTTTAGTAGTGCTAAAAAGCATCTCCAAACATTGGTCCTACTGACAGCTTCCCCTTCTTACATTCAGTTAAATGCCAGGCAATTAATTTAACGGCAGGCAAGCATCCTCAGAAATGCAATTTATATGAGATTATACAATTTATTTTCAAAGGGTTTGAATCCCTGCCTTCCTGCTAATTTATTTACTTCCTTCCTTCCTTTATTTATTTTATTATTTACTGCTAATTTATTTACTTCCTGCTATTTTATTTACTCCAAATCCCACCACTCCAAAAGTTCATTTGCTGCTTTCAAGATCAAGCAGAAACTCTTATACACTACAAGAACGTTCGCAGGTTTAATTCTAAGTAAGCTCCATCGCTGTGACTTTTGATCTACGGTTCTACCTTCGCTTGTTCTCTGAGATCAAGTATTGCGGCTTATTAAGCAAACCGTGGTTTTACAAGGCACGTAGCTTGCACAGGAGCGCTCTCTACAATCTGCAAAGTCAGTGATTAGTTGGCAATTCAGTCTTGTTCCTGATGCTCAAAGGATCTCTGCGCTCATCAGTGGGGAAAACCCAGCAACTTCGGGACTCTCCTTCTCTTCTTGTTATTCAAACACTTCGAGGCATATTATGTCGGACCCCCTTTCCCTGGCCCCCAAACCACCTAGATAATTGGGGGTCCTCCGGCAGTCTTATTTAATTCCCTTCGCTGAAACGAACTACATTCCGCCAAGAACAAGACTCTCAACGCCAGGAAAGGTCGTGCAATTTGAAATCCCTTTCATGCTGTAAGACCATATTCTTACCTTTCAGGCTCTGAGTAGGGAGCGTCGGAGAAGACGATGCTTTCCAAGCGCAGTTCGGGGGAAGACTACGGGAAGACTACGGGATCGGCAACACAGGAATGACCCATCCCATTCAGTTTCTCGATGAGGAGAAATCGAAACTTACTCCGGAAACGAAAGAAATCGGCAATACCGAGAGCTTTCTGTTTCCCGGGAAACAGCGCTCGCTCCCTTCAAGGGCCAGTTTCGTTTCTGATTGCTAATGTGAATCAGTTTCCGAGATCTTGCGGAGAAGGAAGAAAACGAAACCCCAAAACCACTTCCCCCCCCACCCCCAGACCTCAACTCCAATGATGATCACCTTCTCTCAAAAGGATTAGCAATAAATGACCCCATTCTTTGCTTTCCACATACTTTTTAAAGTATTTTAAAAACTGCTAAAGGTAAATACAGCAAATGATTAAATATTAAAAAGTGTGAAAATAATAAAGTAGCAGTTTGTGATGGGCTGGCTGCTAGAACAAAGCAAGGTTATGGCAGATACTTGAAAGGAGACTTGGAAGCTTGTAATTGTGGAGTCTGTCTGGCAAGAACAAAGAATGCTTATTCATAGAGAATATGCAGACTTAACACTTGTAGCAATTGTAGGTGGTTTGAGGACTGATAACAGTAGCAAAGAGTTAGACATCCTGCATAGCTTAGTTAAAAATTAGGAACAGAGATGGCCTGGAGTAAATAGAATGTGTATTAGATAACTCCTTGAGCATTCATTAGCCAAGGTTTAGGAATAGGGATGGCTACAGACCAATAGAACAAATTGTTAGATCATTACTAAAATGTTTATTAGATGATATTTCTCATTATCCTGCCTTGTCTCGCCTTCTGCTTTAGTGAAAATGTATAGAACTTTCTTAATCCTTTGTTCTGGGCTCTTGCCATTTTGGCCAGGACCCCTTTTCTTGGAGCACTCCAATAAAAGAAAAGAAAACCTGCACCTCATGTTTGTGTCCTTCATTGGCCTCAGCACCAGGTTCAGACCCGAATTGGGAACATTTGTTTAGTCCACCACTGAATTCTTAAAGAGGCATAATTCATATTTTAGTTCCAGTAGTCCCTCTTCTAGTCTCTTGAAGAGACTAGAATCATTGGAAATGTGGATTTACAGACGGCTGTTACATATAAGTTGGGTTGACAAAATCAGAAATGAGGTGATAAGCCACCTGGGAAAGCCAAGGGAAATCATCAAAACCATAAAAAACGATCTCAAGGCAGAAGAAGAAGATCATAGCTTCAAAATCTAAGGAACTGCTTTGGACAAAACTCAACATCACTTTTTCATGTGGCTGTTGATAAAAATAGGATCACCAACATGATCACCAACATCCAATGATGGATATGGCACAAGAAGAAGATCGGCTTTTCAACTTTTCAAGAATGATCCTGCAGATTTAGTTATTCTTTATCCAGAGCAAAGCTGGCTTTTCAGAGCTGCAATCAGAATAAGAGAGTAATAGAGTTGGAAGGGACCTTGGAGGTCATCTAGTCCAACCTCCCCCCCTCAGGCAGGAGACCCTACACCATTTCTGACAGATGACAGTTCTTGGTTACCAACTGCTCATCCAGAGACCAAAGTTATGATGGAAATGAAAAAGTAGGTCCTCAAACCTGCACCCATCATTTTATCACAGTATCCCACAGTATGAGCACTTTGTAACCAGCATGCATTTATAATGACTGCTGTGTCCACACACTCACCTGATCACAAGATTTGTAAGCTTCACTGACAGCTGCGTGCAAGAAAAATCAATGAGGAAGCTGGCAGTAATTTGTAAATTGTGATCATACATTGTGCTTAACAATCTATTGTGTTTTGCTTAATAACTGCAGCTAAACTTACATAGTAAATCTGCTGCTGTCTTGTGATATTTCACTTAATAAACATGTAGTATATTGAAGGAGTTGCTGGGTCCATTTGCAGTTATTATGTGAGGACTACATGTATTCTACTGTTGCCAGCTCTGACTTTTCCAAAAGAAATTCTGGCAAGAACTGGCATAAAGGGAGAAGTAATTGCAATCAGTCAAATTTATTCTGATTTAGCAGTCTAAAACCCACTCAAATGAATTGTTTCTTGTTACTCCTACAACCTATTTATGACTATTGTAGTTATTTCTGCTGTGGAGCCAAAGTCTTCTGGGCTAGGGATTCATGTCCAAATCCCACCAAGCAGAAGAAAACCATAAAGATCCTGAGGTCATTCTGCCACTACTCCAAATACTGTTAGCATCAATTGTATACGATAGTCACAAGTAAATGTATGACAAAATAGAATTTAAACATGAATAGTTTATTGTTCTTACCATATCTAAAGCAATTTTTTTTGGTCTTTTAATGATCCCCATAATCCCTTGCATGGGGTGGAGTTGGGGCAACAGAATGGAGTTGAGTGTTTACTGGCTGGATGCCCTTCCTGTCACCAATGCGGAGTTCGCGGCAGATATATTCTCATTGTGCCCAGAGAGAGAAATATCTGCCTCTACCTAGGATTGAACTCACAGCCTCCTGATTGTGAGGTGACAGCTCCACCACTAGGCCACTGCACCACTCCTTACCATATCTAATGCAATGCATATATTAAATATTGTAGCATACTGTGAGATTATGAAAGGTTCTTATAACTAGGTGTGAGGATAGGGCACTAAAACAGAAAGTGATTTTTTTAAAAGTGATTTTCAAACTAGCTTCATTGTTGATTTGTTGATTGCTAAATTGGCGACACATCCACATGTCTCTTAAATGCAGCTTAAATATGTTTCAGTAACCCTTACTTATTTATTTATTGCTTATTATACCTTATGATTCATCCGTGTCTCATTCCTACTTCATCACTGAGGTCTCCTCACTGCATATTCATTTGATGTGATGTGATGTTTTCCATCTTCTCCCTACCCAATCCTTGCTACCATGGCTTAGAGTGCTTCGGCAGCAACCATGATGTTGACACAGTCAGGGCTGGAATCTGTCCAGCTCCTCCTAGCTGCTTAATGCTGCAGTATATAAATTCATACTTTTCTGTCCTGGCAACTGCCTCTGCAATATTCAAAAGAGTACGCGGGGATTCCCTTGGCAAAAGTTGTTAAATTATTCCTTTAAAAATGCTATTTACATGAATTTGGAATAATGCAAGTCTGATATTTTTCAAAGTGACCAGGGCTACCATTTTTACTGCATTAAGGTTAGGGAGCAGCAGGGAAATCAAGCTAAATAAAAAAGAAAGGGGGGGTTCACCTGTCACTATTTATCAGCAGGCCAGCTATCAGCTGTTTTTAGATAGAGTAACAGAGATCGGGAGAAAGAGAACAAGCAAATGAGCAAGAGAGAGAGTGAAGCAAAGCAATAGAGCAAGTGTAAAATGTAAATGAGACCCAGAGGGCATCCACAGAGTTTTCCCATCAAATGACAAAAGCAGCATTGCACTATTGCAATATAAACTCTACATATTCTATACATGCATGCAATCTCACAGTGCACATCAAAAGGGCAGAGCTTGCATTGCAATGGCACAACACTGCTTTCATTATTTGCCTCTCTTTGAGCTCCTCCCACAGATGCCTGTGTTGCTTCTGACAGAGCACCAGAGAGACAGAATATGAGAGAAACAGAGGAATCCAAACAGTGAGAGAAAGAGCAAGACAGGGAGAGAGATGAGTGAGCAAAAGACAAAGCCTTTGTTTTCCTTTTCTTAGAAGAAAACCAGGAGAGCAAAGAGTTTTAGCAACAAGCCAAGAGAGAGAAAGGTAGTTTGTTGGATGGGATGGAATGCTTCAGCACCTCATCAATGAAACTAGTAATGATTTGGGGGTAAATCAGGAAAGGCAAAAAAGCCTCCACTTACCCTGCAGATCAGGTTCTGACAGATGGCTAAACCCAGAGGTCTAATGGTCTGTTAAAAATGACCTCCCTCCCCAAATCTGCTTATGCTGGGACAGCAGTTGGTGGATATTTTCCCTGCCATTAAGAAAGCCATCAATAATTTTTCTTTGCGCCAGAGGAAAGCTATCAAGAAAGTACCACCCCCCTCGTCTTGTTTCATGGTAGAGATCTGGTATTTTGAGACAGGGCAAATTACATGGGCACACTTTTGTGCCATTTCACAAGCCAGAGGCACTTAAACTGTGTGCATGGATGGGCCCCTTTTAGCTCTAGTGAGCTTTCTGGCATGTACACACACAGAGACAGCAATTTTACAAATGCACATTTGCAGGGCACTTCTTTGCTTTCAATGCATTGCTTTTCTAAGGGACAACATAAAACATCAATAGGAAAATACTTTTCTTTTTCACCTTTTCCAAGCCTGGTGTGTGTCAGATGACTAAGATCATAATTTCCAAAATTCTAGCTCTTTTGTGGTGGCTGGAAATGATAGGTGTTGCAACCCAACATCATGAAAGGAAAAGATAAAGCAGGTGTGGGGGAAGGGGATGCGTCTATAATTATTTACTATTCATGATAAAAATCAATTCTGCAATTGAATCCAGCATTTCAAATTGATTTTATCCAGAATTTTTTTTTTTGTCCACAGCTTTAGACAGCCAGCTTTTGAGGGTAAGTAGCACCATATAAATAAATATGCAGTGTGCTGTTTTGCAAACATTAGAATTCAGCTCGTTAGGTTTCTTGGAATACAGCCTTCAATCTGGATTTCAGCTGGCCATCCATTGTATCGATTCTTACTATTGTCAGAATGAATTATCTGTTTAAAAAGATACATACAAATTGTAATTCAATGTATGGCTTTGTAATACATTAAGAAAGGAAATATTTCTGTTATTTGCTAAACAAAGGACGCAGGATGGCTTTAAAACACACCACAAAATATATCTTTCTGACAAATATATTAAATCAAATTCCCACATTAACTGTTTTTGGTGAGACAGAATCTCAGCCCAGGAGAGGTTTTTCCACCCAGTAATTTTTCAATTACTGATTTGTTCAAAACAGAACAAGAACCCATTCCTGCTTTTCTAAGGAATATCATTGTTAATCCCAGCCATAGAGGAAAAAAGGAACACTTGTTAAGGGGGCCTAAGTGTTGGATGAGATCATCTGGTCCTCAGAATTGCTGGGAGTTTATCATTCTGTTTTATAACCTGATCTAAGTAAATGGCAGTTAAGGAAACAGACACATCACATGCAAAAATTACAGGATTGTACTCTTATTTGGGGGTTATTAGTTTAAACAATTCTTACCTTTTCCTTTTGTATATTTTCTGGTAGTTTAAAACCTTTTGCAGCTAAAAACACCCAGCCTGACCTAAACTTCAAATTCCGTA